TGCAGGCCCTGGGGATGTCCCCTCCACCCTCTTCTCTTGACGGCTTCCGTCAAGGCGGCGCCCTCAGCCTCGGGCCACCGCCCCTCCCCGGGGCCGCCTTCCAGCCTGCGCTTTGTCCCCGCCACAGCGGCGCCCCCTGCCTTGTTGAAAACTCCGAGTGTGGGCTGTTTGAGTGGGACGTTGCCACCTCGGTCCGTGCGCAGGGAGAGTTTCACCGACGTTCCCTCAGAGCCCTCCGACGGTCGTACGGCTACGGATAGCTTGGGGGAGGGCAGGGAGACACCCTCCCCTGCTCCGACGCTTGCCCCGCCCGCGAGGGAGAGGACAGGCACCGCCGACATGGACGCGTTGCCCTCCACACTGACTCCATCCCCCGGCGGAAGGAGCACCACCGGCGGCGATTCCAAGGCGCCGGAAGAGGAAGCCGCCCCCCCCGTGCTCCCGCCCAGCACCTTCAGACGCGGCGGTCCCCCGGGCGCCGGCGTGGGAGTGCTGCGGCTCCCGACGGGTCCCTCCAGGGACGGATACGGCAACGGCGTCGCCTCCACCCCAGCTTCTTGCCAGGGCGTGGGGGAGAGCGTGGAGGTGGGCGGGCGGGACTCCACCGAGAAGGCTCGCTTTAACTGCAGCTTCTTGGCCGTCGTCCCCCCCCCGCCCTCTTCCCCCTTGCCGGAGACCAGCGAGAACAGGCGAGGAGCGCCAGTACTTGCCGCCTCTTTGGACTCTACAACGGGCGCCTTCGCGGGCCCCACAGCTTTAAGTCTCGGAAGCCCTCCCGCCCCGGGCGCTTTGAGCAGGAGCTTCGTCTCCCGCGCCCCGCCCTCCCCTTTCTCTCCCAGGCGAGAAGCAGCCGCCACCGAATCCATTGTCGGGAGCGTGGCGGAGGACACTTTAGTCCCGTTCAGAGAACGAACGACGCGACCCTGCGCTGGGAAGAAAGCAAGTCGCCCCGGGGGGGGGAAGCTTCGACTCAGGGGGGGCAGGCGCCGGGCCTGCCAAGCGTCCGGTAGCAGCTTTGTGGCCAAGCTTTCCAGCAAGGCTTTTCCCCTCTCTCCCACCGCCACCGACTCGCTGTCGTTGTGAGCACTCCAAAACTGGATGCAGTTGCTGAAGACGACTTCTGCCTTGGCCAAAAACTCGGCCGCGGAGATGCCCTCTTCCAAGAGCTCGGAGGTCAGGCGGCCCATGTCCATGGGCAGGTCCACGCTGGCCGCATACTCCGCACGGAGGGAGGCATGCACGAGGTTCTCCACGCGCGCCCAGAACATGCGGAGCTCCTGGTGGGGGATGACGAGCTGCTCCAAGAGGTCGAGGCACGTGTAGGTCGAGGCCGGCAACGGTGCCACCCCCAGCCAAGGATGCCCCCGCAGCTCGCTGTCCACCTGAATGAGGAGATGCCGTGCCTTTTCGCGATACGGGGCATTGCCCTTCTCGATACAAAAGCGGAGGCAATTACTGGCGGGCCGCCGCAGGAGCTGGACCAAGGCGGAGGGCGAGACGATCTCTCCGTGTTTCAGGGCCTTGTCCACCATGGCCAGGTCCCACGGGTTCTCCACTCGATCGACATACGCAGTCAAACCAACCAAAGTGTCCTTGCTGGCGGCAAAAGTGCGGTGCGACTTTCTGAGCCTTCCAAGGATTTTCAGGCAGGCCTCTGACGTGCTGTGGTCCATGCTTCCTGAAGAATGAAGTTCTGCCTGACAGCCTTCTCTTCAGAACCCTTGCAACACTTCGTCTATCCGTACCACCTATCACCATACGAAAGAACCTTCTACCTCCGTGGTTCCATGAATCAATGTCAAATTGCTTGAAGGTGCTGCCAATCTCCTCTGCCTGTTCAAGAAAAAGGTGGCCGCGTGGATGGTGCCGGCCGGTCGCCCATGAAGTGCCCGGGTGAACGCACCGCCACCCTGCGAGGGTCGGCCAGGGAAGACAAAAAGTCATGAGTATTTACGAACGACGCATGGCAGGTCTGGTCTCGCGCGGCAAGGTGATAGGCCGGCGGCCTCCCCACCTCGCCAGGAAAGCGGGTCGGGAGCGAGCGAAGAGTGACGGTCGTCACGTCTTCACGGCCTGCCCGCGGGCACTGCCCGGCAAGCGACGTGCACGTGGGCCATCACCCGTACCTGCATGGCCTGGCGACCAGGACGTGCAAGCTGCCTTGTTTTTGAGGGTCCCGGTGGGGACTGGACAGCTCAAGAAAGAAAAAAGACGCGTTACCCCTGGTGCTGATGCATGTATCCCCTCCCCACCTCCACCCAGGCAACACAGATCTTCCCAGAGCCAGCACGGTGGACACACCGAGTCAGGGAGCTCATCAGCACCACATAACGAGGCAGTATGGCAGACGTGGAACGTAACGATGGTGAATATCAGTCGCAACAGCAGCAACAAGCGCAGCAGCAAGACTACGAGAACGGGGGGCCGCCGCCCCGGCGCGGCGGCGATGGTCATGGAGAATACAACCAACCCAACAAGATCTTTGTGGGAGGCGTGGCCTGGCATACGACAGAAGAAGGGCTGTCAAGCTATTTCGGCAAATATGGGGAGCTGACGGACGTGGTGCTGATGCGGGACAAGAACACGGGCGGGCCTCGAGGCTTCGGCTTCGTGTCCTTCGCTACGCCTGCAGCGATGGAGGCGGCCGTTTCCGAAGCCCACATGCTCGACGGCCGAAACCTCGACGTGAAGAAGGCGGTGCCGCGTGAACAGGCACCTGCTCCAGTCCGAGCCATATGGGGGGGCACGGGTGCGGGGCCGCAGCGACAGTTCCAAGACATCAAGAAAGTCTTTGTCGGGGGGTTGTCACCAGACGTGACCGAGGAAGCTTTCCGCGCCTATTTCGACAAATTCGGAGAGATAACGGACGCGGTCGTGATGATGGACAGGACCACGGGCCGCAGTCGCGGCTTCGGCTTCGTCACTTACGCCGAGGAGGCGGCCATGAAGAAGGTGTTGAGTCAGCAGCACGACATGGAGGGAAGGCCTATGGACGTGAAGAGGGCCGAGCCCAAGGTCCCCGATGCAGGGGCTGGAGGAGGCTATTATAGCGGAGGGGGGGGGGGAAGAGGGGGAGGGGGATCGTGGGGGGGGGCGCGGGAGGAGGGGGGGGGGGGAGTACGGGGTACTATCACGGGGACGGCTACGGCGGGGTGGGGGGCTACAGCGCCTACAGTAGCAGAGGAGGGGGGGGCTACGGAGGGGGAGGGTACGCGTCGTCGTATCGTGTAGGTAGGTTATCAAGAGAGGTCATTTGTGCGGCGCAAGCCCGGAAAAATTTGGGTCTGCTTACTTATACAACGCTCATCTCCATGATACTTAATGTTCCAATTCACACGTGGGT